CTATATAAATATTCAAACAATTCTAAAGTTGGAACCACAGGTAGAGGACTAGATAACTCATGCGCAAATAACCACCGAGGAACGTACGGCTCGATCCAACAGAAAAGTAAATGTGCACTACCGAGGGTCGAACGGCTCAAACCATAGATATATCTATTACCCCGCTCGCGAATCATACATGCGACATGGTAACATTTAAATAAACAACCACCCTGCTCGCGAATCATGCATGCGACGCAGGTACACATAAAATACATGCTCAAATAGAAGATTAAGAATTTATCGGGGTGCAATTATTCAAATAAAGGCCAATCCTCTTCTAACAATTTAAGAATATGAAGTTTAATTCCTCTTTTACATTCATTCACTAGTTCACTTTAATCCAAGAATTCAAAGGTTCATTGGATTACAGATATTCCAAGTATAGCATGCTTTTGGGTCCTAGACTACCCGGACAATAGCATAATAGCAGATACGCACGGACTCTCGTCACCTCGTGCACGTGTAGCCCCCACAAATAGGAGCACATAACCAATTAAGTCACCTAAGGGAACAATTCCCTCTTACAAGGTTAGAAAGGAGACTCACCTCGCTCCAAAGTACACTTCCAACTTCCAATAACGAGTCCAAGTCCTTAATTCAAAGCCGGACAATCCCAAACTATTTAAACGAAACAAGAACTAATTAATATAACCTCACAAGATAAAATCCTAGCTATTTAAGAAATTTTCCAACCATTAACACAAGTTTCTTAAATTCCGACCCCGGGCCCACGTACCCGAATTCCGAGATTTTTCGAAGAAAATTGTTCTCTATGCCCTAAGGATCGATAATATATGATTTCTAGTTCATTATATGGCGAATTACATGATTAAATTTTTGTTTTATTAAAACCCTAGGCCTAGCTCTAACCCTTAATTTTTGTTCAATTTTTTGTGGTTAATCTACCTAATACACATGCATTTAAGCTAAGGATGAAGGGAAATTACTTACCTTACCAAGCTATGTGGAAACCCTCTCTTGGAAGCACCCAAATCGCCTAAGTATGGAATGAGAAATGATAAAAATAGCTTTGGGTTCGAATTAAATGAACCCCTCTGCCAAGCTGTTTCCGCTTCTGCGGTGGGCTTTCCGTTTCTGCGGAGTCCGCTTCTGCAGATATTAGGCCGCTTCTGCGGTCCTGACCCAAGATGGCTGGGCCGCTTCTGCGGTTGAAGTGCCGCATATGCGGAACCGCTTCTGCGGTTCCAGGATCGCTTCTGCGATCTTTCCCCTGAGCTGCCTTGGCCGCTTCTGCGGTGTCCTGACCGCATCTGCGGTCCCGCAGCATCTGCGGTCCCGCTTCTGCGGTCCAAGAACCGCAGATGCGGTTATGACAGAAGCAGCAAACTTCAGTCCTTTTTAAAAGTTCTAACTTCGCTCGAGCCTCGCTCGTTTGACGCTCGGGACTCCCGTGCCCCGCCCGAACATACCGAGAAGTCTGAAATCACGAGGCGGACCTACTCGAACCCTCGGAACTCCCAAAACAACTCTAAATCTTATAATCACCCCCTAAAATCAAATGAATCAAACTATTGAATCCTTAAGTTCTTAACTCTCCTCTAACGGGTCAAAACGCCCTTGAACTACTCGGATTGACACCAAATTTTACGGGCAAGTCTTAAATGGCATTACAGACCTGTACAAAGCTTCGGAACCAAAATCTGAGCCTGATACCTAGGGAATCAATGATTTCTTAGTTTCTTGAATTCTTTAAAGCTTCCATTAAACAATTTTAGATAAAAATTCATTACTCGGGCTAGGGACCTCGGAATTCGGTTCCGGACACACGCCCAGGTCCCATATTTTCCCACGGACCCTCAGAATTGTCAAATCACGGATCCGGGCCCGTTTTCCCAAAATATTGACCGAAGTCAAATTTGGTCTTTTAAGCAATCCTAAAGAAGCAAATGGGCATATTTTTACTCAAAACCCTACCAATCCCCGAACCAATCGCCCCCGCAAGTCGTAAACTCGTTAAAGCAAGTACGGGAGGCTTTATTTAGGGGAACGGGGTTCAAAAAAGGCTAATCGACCGGTCGGGTCGTTACAATATTTCTGGTGCCTATTTGCATATTTTAGGGACTACATTTCTGGTCCTTAAAATATTTTTGCGGCTAGTTTAGATATGGTCGTTAAAACGTTTCACGACCAATAAATTTCTTGTCCTTAAAATATTTTCGCGGCTAGTTTAAATATGGTCGTTAAAACGTTTCACGGCCAGTAAATTTCTTGTCCTTAAAATATTTTCGCGGCTAGTTTAAATATGGTCGTTAAAACGTTTCACAACCAGTTAGAAGCTGGCCGTTATATCTATTCAAAGAAGTTTGAAGCTGGTCCCTAAAGAAACAAGTCACAAGTCCCTAAATCACATTTAGTTTGCAACTAGAAAATCGGGAATATTAATATATAGATAATGTTGCTTTCATAAAATAATACCAAAAATGATCAACATCAGTTAATTAGTTGAATCGTACATCAATGATTTAAGCTAGTCACAATATTGTGTTCATAAACATTTAGCAAAAAACTACATATACTAATATATCCCTCGATATAATGTAAAATTTTCTTGAAATTCCAAGCAAAATTGTGATTGATCTGTATGTCGTCAAAAGTCAGCTTTCTCGTAAACTTCAATATCCAAAACCTGTTGAAGAAATAAGAAATTTCAGTTAGAAAAACTATATATAACAAATTGTACAAATGGTGATAACCAAGTATTTGACGAAGTGAACTTGCAGAGCCAGAATATTTTCGCTGTTCTATTGGGAAACTGTGTACATGCATTCCCTTGGTTGATGTAAAGCTTACGTTCATGTCTTCTTTTCCACTTCAATGGTGATACAAATGGTACAACCAAGACTAGTCCCACTGGATCACAGAATTGTGAAGTTCTGCAGTCTGATCATATAGGCAATTTTAACTCAAAGGAAACAACTAGCAGAATGTCCTGTAATTCATCAGAGGTTACTAGCTTCTACTCCAGGGTAAATCTTGATATTTATACAGTTCACAATCCTAAGCCATCAGTTCAGGCTTTTTTTGATATGATGAATACTGGCCATGATATTCTCATGGGCCGTAAGTGGGGTTCTACAGCAGCAGATAGTTGCTGCAACCTCAACATTTGATAACGTCGTCCTTACTACATCAAATTTACATATCTGGACTATGTTCCTATCGCGGTTTGCTAAGGGAGCACTGCAGCAAGCAGAACCTACAGTGCTTCCAAAACTTCACTTGGAATATATGTTCAGACCAAAGATAAACTGAGGTCTTGCGAAACTATTACTCTGCTCTGTTGCTCAGCAGTAAGCGAACCAAGAAGATCAAAAGCAAAAAAGCAAGACCTATGATCTCTTCCGGCAAGAATGCTATTCCATACAGTCTGAGCATAAGCACAATCTCGAAAAATATGCAATACCGATTCATCCTCTACTCAACAAGTCGTGCAAGTATCCTCTAGATTAAGATGGCGGCAAACTCAAAAGCAAATATGTTTAATAACAGAAACAGAGCTACAACTAGAGTGAGCAACGAGCATGATTCAGTGAAGAACCTACGAACAGTCAAAATGGTCAATAATAATGGAGTTTCGTCGGTGCAAGGGTCTTCGTCGGAGTTTCGTTCTCCGACCAGATCTGACAATATCAAACAAGTATTATGTAAAACCCATCAAAAACTCAGTTCACCGGAGAATAATGATCTCGTTGTATATGGAAAGTCGTGATAAAAACAAAGATCGGGATGAACATCTAGCGTTTAGCAAGTTTTTGCCATTGAAATGAAAAATGATTGAGAAATTAGGAAAGAGAAAAAAAGAATGCTTTAAGAAATACTTTATGTTAGACATATCGAAGTTTATGTCTAGCGAGATGTGCTGATACCATGAGTGTAAGGACTACAAATTTATTGGTTTAATCATTAGTTATCCCATTAGCAAAGTTACTAAATTTACAATTCATACTTAACAAAAGGCCATAATGCAAAGAAAAACAGGTGACGTCCAGATTGTCAATCTTTTGGAGTTGGAGCTCAGATGAGGCTTTTGCCTTTTGACCGGATATGGTAATGAAGGTCTGCAAATAGGAAAACAAGGAAGAAGGAGAAAGAGGTGAAAAAAGTTATTAAGTATGAAATACACGTTTTAGGCGCGTGTAATTCATCGCTTTGCACATATCTGGTTGTAGCTTTTTAAGGGGTAAGTAAGTTTACTTTAAAAGTTCAGGGAGGTAATAGGACCCCCGAAAAGAAAAGGTGTGTAATTAGTAATATGGTCATAGGTTGGGAAGGATTTTATGCATTATACCAATATAAAACTTAAAATCTTCTAAAATGTCATCACATTAAATTCTCCGAACTGTTTTAAGTTCTTGGTACTTTCAAAAAGGAAACAAACCACCTTGTTCTGCCTTCTATAACTTAGTTCTTCAAAATATTATTAGAAATTACAATCAACTTTTAAAACTGCTTGCTGTAACTTTTCATAAACCATAGATCTCTGAAATACAATGAGATATAGTAGTTATTTTCAAATGTCCCGACATTAAATTTCTAAAACTGCTTCCCATAACTTTTTGAATGAGAGGGAGCACTTCAATTCTTCTAAAATGTTAACACAATTAATTATCTAAACTGCTTTCCATAACTTTTCAAAAAAGGAAACAAGCGATTTCTGCTCTATGGAAAGCATATAATAAAAGAGATAATAATAATCTAATTCTTCCAAATGTCATCACAATCAATTCTCTAAACTACTTTCTATAACAAAATTTTTGGAAACAAGCCATCTTAGCTCTATGAAAAGCATATTATAAACACAATATGAGAGATCACATTTTAAGTCTTCTAAAATGTCATCACATTATTTTTTTAACAACTGCTTCCCATAACTTCTCTAGCAATTACACTATAAAAGCCCCTTTTCACCTAGCATCAAGGCACACCATTGACATTATTACATCAACTTCAACAAGGATGGCTAAGTTTTTAAACTCTGTTCTTTGCTTCTTTCTCATTCTTTCAGGTTTTCCCTACTTTCTTAGAAATCTTTTACTTTGTTTATTTTGTTAAAAATTTACGCACACCCTGTCTTTGCACAGAACCAATGAACGTAAGACATGCCTCTTGCATACACATATTTCTCACATAATCATAGTTAAATATTATGTATTTTCACTCTTAATTTGTAACTGCTAAGATTAATTTCTTTGGTTTGATGTAAATATAAGTTACAAATAAGTATTCACCATTTAATGATTTGCTTGTGATAAAAGTGAACAATTTGATATAATTCTTATTTCATTGATATATAATGTCTTGTTGGTTCAATTTGGATGCAGTTGCATTGGTAATTACTCAGATAAATGCCCAAAAGAGATGCAGTGCAACTCTGGATACACATGGATGTCTCCTTGCTGACTGTCAAAAGGAATGTGTACAGAAATACAATGGGAATGGACTTTGCACTGGTGGTGTCTCTGGCCCATTCAATTGTGTCTGCGTTTACAATTGTAACTCCAATTAAAATACCTTTGATCATAGACTATATTGGTCTATTATTAATGAGAAATAAATAAATATATTATTCCTTTTTCTAAACTTCATTACGATATTTGAAATTAAAAAGGGACCCCAACTATTAAACTTCATTACACTATTGTCTGCAATATGACTCTCGATGGATGTGTCATATCACCCAGAAATGTGGTGAGATATATATGATCCCTCTAGCGTTTTCAAGCACTAAGAATAGAAAAATTTCTTGTAGGGAGCGCTTCCCCCTTTAATGGACCTTATGCAACGCGAATCTGAATTAGTTAGGCTAGTATATTTCGGATACCAAATAATTATACAAAAAATAAATATTCAGATCAAAGATATTAGAGTAGTGCAATACATTAATTCATAATATTTTCTTTCAGAGTTTAATTCTTATACATACGGCAAATTAATTGGTCATTCTTGGAGGGCAATATAAGACATGCTAATCAATATAGTATCGTATGTCTCCGGCAAATAAATAAAAGAAATTTTACCTTCTATAGCAAAGGCTGATACATTATTTATTATAAACAAATACCCTTTTAAAAAATTATCTTCTATAGCTACATTTTAATTTTTATAGCAAAATATCTATTTATGGCCACTTCCTACCTTTAAGCCATTAAATACACTGTGTATTATTTTTCTCTCTCCCTCTCTCCTCCTTTCTCTTTCCTCTTTCTTCTCTTTTTCCCCCGATTTTTTCCTCCCCTGCTTTTAGAAACCCTAGCAGGGACTGTGTTCCACCAACGACAGATCCGGCCGACGACCACTTCCCCCCTCCTTGTTGTGTCACCCCTAACCCCCTCCTCCGGTCGGTGCTTTCTTTCACACAGTTGTGTTACATATTCCAAATTTTTCATAGATTTGCATTGATTGTTCATGTTTGCCTTGTGAGATCTGAAGAAGTTCTGTCTGTAGTTTCTGTTTGGTCCTTTAAATTGGTGCTTCCTCAACAACTGTCTTCATTTAACCGGCAGCGACGCCCCACAAGGCGGCGGCCTGGATATCGGTGAAATGGGGACGGAGTTTGGGGTTGAGGAACTTGAAGAGTCTGTTACCTTTTTTTCATTGTATTTCAATGTATCTCGTTGTATTCCATGTATTTCATTGTATTCACTATCTTTTTTTTATTGTATTTCAATATATCTCGCTGTATTCCATGTATTTTATTATATTCAATGTCTCACTGTATTCCATGAATGTATTCATATATTTTTTAATTAATATACTTTTTGTATTCAGATGTATATATGTATTCAAATGTATATGCAGTACGTATTCATATGTTTTTGCACTATAGATGACCTTCCATACTTCATGTATTTAATATACTTTTATGCATTTAACTGTATTCAATGTAATTATATAATTTTAATTTATAAATCTATTTGTAAAGATACCACTAAATTTTTTTTAGTAAAGATACGACTAAAAAAAGAAAGGATGGATTGAATCTCTGAAGATTGCTCTGTTTTTGGGGTATTTTTCGGTTGAGAATCTTTTCTATAACTGGAAATACAAATTTTGTGTGTTATAATTGAGTTTGTTGAGTTATATTAGGAGTCTATCGCGTTAAATGATTCACTTACCATTTTTAAACAGTTGAAGACCTTTTCTTCCCGCAAATTCCGTTACTGTATTCACGAATACAGCTCGTGAATACAGTCGAATACATTCTCTGCTTAGCTGGACTCCCTTGTTTTCCGCCGAGATTTGCTACTGTATTCATGAATACAGTAGCAAAAATACAGCGAATATAGTCTATAACAACTGAAAACATAGCTATTGGAAGTAATTTAGTAAATGATAGTTATAGCAAGCTATTAATCACTAAAACATAGTGGTTTCTGAAAATTTCTCATAAATAAATAAAAACAAATTGGTGTATCGAGTGTATTTACAAGTCTTTTAGGGCCCGTGCCGTTTGATCCCACAACCCACAAAAACTAAAAAGCTCGATTTTCAATAAAAAGAAAACATCCGTCATTTTTGCATGCACCACTATTACGAAGCAAAATGAATAAGACAATGTACTTATTGAACCGAAGTCTTAATAGTAAATGACCCGCTGAACCTGTTCAAGGTTGGACTGGTTATTGACCTGCCTATTTATTGAACTTAATCCATCTTGATCCAACCCATCTCAATCAATTTAAAGTTGGACTATGTCAAAACTAAGAGATTGAGCACAAGCAGAAGCTGCCATTGATGCAGCAATTGAGCTTGCAGGAAGACAGACGAGAGAAAGAAAAGAGGAGCAGTAGAAACTTTTGGAAAGATGAAAAATCGGGGAAAAAACTAAACTGTATTTTCTATATTGTTTCCTATATATACATGTATAGGAAAAGGAAAACAAAAAGATGCAATTAGCTAATTATAGAAATACCCTTACTAACTCAACAGCGCTAAGCATATAGTTATACATATAAATACAGATGTAGCTGAGCTGTCATGTGAGCTGTCATGTGATACTCTCAATACACCCCCTCAAGTTGGAGGTGAGGAACTCACTGCCAAGTTGCCAAGAATGGAAGCATGTTTGATCCCTGATAAAGCCTTGGTAAATACGTCTTCTAGCTGAGCATATGTGGGGATGTGATGCAAGGTGATAAGGCCTTCATGTAACTTGTCTCGTACAAAATGACAATCCACCTCTATGTTCTTGGTACGTTCATGGAACACAGAGTTTATTGCCATATGTACTGCAGCTTGGCTATCACAAAAAACTGAGATAGGATGTAGGCAAGGAACTGTCAGCTCTTCTAGCAACCTTTTAACCCAAACTAGTTCACCAACTACTTTTCTTACTGATCTGTATTCTGCCTCCGTAGAGGAGAGGGAGACTATTTCTTGTTTCTTTGATTTCCAGCTAATAGGACTGTCACCCAATAAGACAATGTATCCACTTACTGATCGTCTAGAATCTGGGCATGCAGCCCAGTCTGAGTCGCAGAAGGCCCTCACAGTACAATCTGGGTTGTTGGAGAAGAAAATACCCAGGGTTGGAACATTCGTAAGATACCTTAAAACATGGAAAGCAGCTTTAAGATGAGGCTCTCTAGGTGTTTTCATGAATTGGCTTAAATGCTGAACACTATAGGCAATGTCCAATCTTGTATTGGCGAGGAAATTCAGCTTCCCAACTAACTTCCTATAGTAAGTAGGATCTGCCAGTAGGGTTCCCTCTTCTGCCTTCAACTTAAGAGTACAATCAAGAGGAGATGAAACTGTGGTGTACTGATGGTCATACTCCTTCAACAGATCTGCAGTGAACTTCCTTTGTGAGATAAGGACCCCATCATCTTTGTAGAACACTTCCAATCCCAAGAAATAATGTAACTTCCCTAGATCTTTGATTTTGAATTGATCATGGAGGAAAGCCTTGAGTGCCTTAATTTCTTCTACATTTGTGCCTATAAGGATTACATTATGACGACCCGGCCGGTCGTCTCATGAGTTACCGCTCCGTTTTTCTCCATTTCTGCTTCTTTATGCTTTGTTTATCTGTGTTATGTGGTATCGGGTTGGTCGGATCGAATCCGGAATGGTTTTGGTAAGGTTTGAGACACTTAGTCTCTAAAAGTAGCTTTAGAGTTAGAAAAGTTAACCGAGAGTTGGCTTATTGGTAAACAACCTCGGAATGCAGATTTTATGGCTCGGATAGCTTCTTTAGGTGATTTGGGACTTAGGAGTGTGTCCGAAAAATTTTTGTGATGTCCGGTGTAGAATTAGGCTTGAATTGGCAAAAGTTAGTTTTTGGCGATTTCCGGTTGGCAGTGGAAAATAGTCTATCGGGGTCGGAATGGAATTCCGACAGTTGGAACAGGTCCGTAATATCATTTTGGATATGTCTGCAAAATTTCAGGTCAATCGGAGTTGTTTTGGATAGTTTCGGCGTCGTTGGTGGAATTTAGGAATTTCAAAGTTCATAGGCTTGAATTTGATGTGATTTTGGTGTTTTGATGTTGTTTTTGGTGTTTCGAAGGCTCGACGAAGTTCGAATGATGTTATGGGACGTGTTGGTATATTTGTTGAGATTTTCGTGGGCCTCGGGTGGATCTCGAAAGGTTAACGAATCAATTTAGACTAGAAGAAAAGCTGTTGCATTTTTTCACAGCAGCATGAACAGTAACTCGGGTGAACAGTAACTCGGGTGAACAGCACTCGGGTGAACAGTAACTCGGGTGAACAGTACTTGGGTTAACACTAAAACGCGTGAGCAGTATTTAAATAAACCCTCCGCGACCATTAAACTCTTTTACACCATTTTTGAACGGGAAAAGAGCGTTGAGGTGATTTTGAAGAGAGGAATTCATTGTTCTTCATTGAGGTAAGGAATTTGGATCCTAAAACTCGATTATTTGTGATTAAGAAATAAAATATCAGTGTTTAATTCATAAAAATCAGTAGAAAAAGGTGGAGTTAGGGCTTGAGATTATGAGACCTTCTAGGGATGATTTGAGGGGTCAAACGAACTCCGATTTTCGAGTTCTTTATATGTACGGACTCGTGAGATGATGAAGAACATTTTGGTATAAAGTTTGTCCAGTTCCGGGACGCGGGCCCGGGGGTCGGGTTTTGAATGATTTCGGGTTTTGTGCTTAAAATCGATATTTTTCAATTGGAATTCATTCGTTTAGCATAATTTGATGATAGAAATCTGAACTTGGTAGATTTGGAGCACTCGGAAGTTGGTTTGAGAGGCAAGCGTGTTGCAGAGTAGCTTTTCGAGCTAGTTCGAGGTGACTAATGATTTTAAATGCTGTTTTGAGGGTATGAAACCCCGGATTACACAACGTTCGGCTATGTTGAGGTGACGCACACGCTAGATGACGAGCGTGGGGTCGTGCACCGTTGGGGATTGTGACTTAGTCCATCCCGAATGACTAGTTTTCTGTATATTTGGTAGATAATTGTTTGATATTATTATACTTTAGGCTAAATGCCATGTTTGGGTTTCGTGCCAACTGTTTGAACCATTAGGGGATTTTAAATGACACTTTTCCTCACTGTTGATTTCATATTGATGCTCAGTCATGCTGTATTTTTACTATTTTGAAAACTCAGCTATGTTATTCTGTTTTAAACACATTAGATAATATTTTGAAGATATTTTGAGCTGAGCTTCATGTTTTACTGATGCCCAAGGGGCTTATGAGATTCTGACTGAGTAAGGCCGAGGGCCAGTGTTGTGAGGATACTTTTGGGTCGGGCTGCACGCTGCAGCAGTGATATACTGATTATGATNTCAGGCCATAGTTCTCACGGTTCTCAGCAGGGCCATTCTTCACTTAGTGCACTTCTAGCCCAGGGTTCGTCCCGTGCTCTATCGGTTCAGGATTCTTCTATGCCAGGGGCGTCTGCTAGTCATACCGGTGCTAGGGGTTCCCATCAATCTCCGTCTCCAGCACCCGAGAGTTGTTATGAGTGTGGAGAGATGGGCCACTTGTGGAGGCAGTGCCCTCGTTGTTCCCAGCAGAGGGGTCAGTCATCAGCCTCAGCCCCAGCCACTTCACCACCCACCCAGCTAGCTAGCGGTGGGGGACAGTCATCTAGGGGTCGCCCCAGAGGGGGAGGTCAATCCGGAGGTGGCCAGGCTTGCTTCTATGCACTTCCAGCTAGGCCCGATGCGATTGCTTCAGATGCAGTGATTACAGGTATTATCTCAATCTGCCGCATGGATGCTTCTGTGTTATTTGACCCTGGCTCTACTTTCTCTTATGTGTCGTCTTATTTTGCGCATTATCTGGATATGCCCTGCGAGTCCCTTGTTTCTTCTTTTCATGTTTCTACGCCGGTGGGCGATACTGTTGTGACAGACCGTGTGTACCGATCGTGTGTTGTGTCTATTGGGGGTCTGGAGACCCGGGTGGATCTATTGTTATTATGTATGGTGGACTTTGATGTTATTCTGGGCATGGACTGGTTATCTCCGTGCCGGGCTATTCTGGACTCTCATGCTAAGACAGTGACTTTGGCTATGCCTGGTGTGCCACGAATTGAGTGGTGAGGTTCGACCAATTATGTTCCCAGCAGAGTGATTTCTTTCTTAAAGGCCCAACGTATGGTTGGGAAAGGTTGTCTTTCATATCTAGCTTTTGTGAGGGATGTCGGTGCAGAGACTCCCAGTATTGATTCTGTTCTAGTTGTGAGGGATTTTCCCGACGTATTTCCTGTAGACCTGCCGAGTATGCCACCGGACAGGGATATAGATTTTGGTATTGACCTGGTGCCGGGCACTCAGCCCATTTCTGTTCCACCATAT